ATGAGAAGGGCTATCTTTTAGTCCGGACGCCGAATGATACCTCAGACAAAGATTGAAGGGGTCAATGGATCTAAGTAAGGGCGCCCTAAGATCAAGAACACCCGAATTACTTCGGTGCGCCGAGGTATCTAAGGAAGCCTGACGTTAACATGTCTAGCATCGGTCCTGATGAGTTCACACCCTTGGACTTGAAGCAAATAGAACACTTCGGCCGGTCCACAATGCGCGGGGCCACGGGCCGAATGAAGACTGTTCCTACCACCTGGTTGCCCTGCTGCCACTACATATTTAGCGAGAAGATGCTGGCTGTCGTCGGCCTCAGCCGAAAGTACCAAGGCGGTAAGGAGCTCGGCTGGGGCCGAGGATTTCATTTATTTATTTTCTTTTTTGTTTTTCAATGTTTGCTTTATTCTGTGAGGCTAACTGTCGTTTTGCCTTTTCAGTGTTGTACGAAGAGAACTCAGGCATCAATTACAAGGTGCTCGGGATCACCCAAGACAGGGATCCGATCATAAATACACCTAAAATCATTGATTCGAAGGATCGGCCTCTCAGCTTGCATAAAAAGAGGATCCAAGTTGTCAGCGCAGTTGAGTACCAGCAGCAGAAGCATTAGTGGGAGAAGCGTGACCCGTTCTTTCTTTTAATTGCTGAAGAACAAGCTGCTGCAGCCCGTGCTTCTTTTTTTGTTAGAAATTTCGCTACTGCTGGGCATTCTGCTCCTGTTGCCGAGCGAACTGAAACAGTTGCTCCAGGAGGGGAAGAAGGTGAAGATGAAGACGAGCGTCTTCTCAAGACTTCGGTAAGCTTTTGCACTTGACTTGTTTTCTACTTGCTTGCTTGCTTGTTGTTGTTGTTGTTGTTTCTTTTCTTTTTTTTTTTTTTTATAACTCATATGGCTCTCTGCCCCCCTTGTTCCTTCTTCTGCAGTCTGACGAAGAAGAGAGGGACAAAGGAAAAGCTACAGAAGTTTCCAAAGACCTTTCTTCGGACGAGGATACTTCAGACGAGGATATGTCCGGGCCGAAGAGGAGAAGAGATGTCATCAAGCCGGGGCAATTTCAGGCAGCCCATATTCCTGCGAAGAGGCCTCGGATCGAGGAAGAGACTAAAGAGAAGACCCTTCCTCCTCCTCCTGAGATTCTAGCCGAGGAAGAAGTTCAATGGAAAACTCCTCCTCTTGGGCCGCAGGTCATCGTTCAGGAGATTGCCTCTGAAGAAAAATTTCTGCACTCCTCTCCACCTCAGGAAGGGCCCTTCTGCTGCGTCAGCCCGAGGATAATGTAGAGATTCTGAATGACCAGCCCTAGGGTCTCGAAGCAGGAGATTCCAAGAAAAGTGCTGAGGCTGAGAAGGGAACTGAGAAAATGTCTTCTGCCTCGTTGATACAATCCTTCAAAACTTTTCAATCTGCGGACATGGGTTTTGAATCAGCTCCTCTTCTCCATGTCCCTGAGAGAACGAGGGACATCCTTTGGTCGCACCGAGCCTCTGCTATCACCTTTTTTGGCGACCTGTCTAGCAATTCCGAGCTGGAGAAAGCAAGGACCTGGTCCCTTCGAGCTACTGTTGGGATAGCTGAGCTTTCTATAAGGGTTCCTAATCCCTTTGTCGAGACACAGAGGTTGCTGATGCTGGTAAGACTTCTAGTACTTAAGCACTTTTACTTTTACTTTTTTTTTTTTTTTTTTGTCCTTCCTCTAACTCGTTTGCCTCGGCTGCTCTGTTTTTTACCTCTACAGGCCGTTCAGAACCACACTTTGGCGGTGGAGATGAATGAGAAGTTGCGGTTTAAGCAGGAGGACGGTGAGGCTAGGGCCAATCTTGCTGAAGCCAAGGCCAAAGCTTGGGAAGAGGAGGTCAAAGAGCTCAAGGCTGCTGCGGGTGAGGCATGAGATCAACTAAAGCATGAGTTACTTCCTCTCATGGACCAAGGAGCTAAGGAGGTATGAGGATGAGGTGATTCCCGGCCTAGAGTCTCGGATCCAAGAGACTCAGCAACAGAAGAAGGAGACTCAGCAGATGATGCCCGAGGACTTTCAGCAAAGGTTCATCATTGCCGAGGAGGAGTCGCTGAAAAAATAAGCCGAACTGCAGAATGAAATTCAGCGGCTCTAGAACGAGCTGAAGGTGCAGCAAGAAGAGTCCTCCAAAACCCGGTTCGAGCTCAAGAAGGCCGAAGGGCTGCTGAAGGTGCGGATCTACACTAAGCCATAATGTAATGAGGGTTATGAGAATGGATTTAATGTAGCTCGGCGGCTAGCCTTCCACTCAGATCCAAGCATAAATTGGGATCAAGTGGAGACTTGGGCTTCAGATGAACAAGATGTTCATCTGGTGAACCCTAGCCAAGCTGAAATTGACTTCTTAACTCGTCAAGCTGAAGCTGAAGCTGAAGCCCGGGAGAGAGAAGAAGCTGCAAGGAAGGAGAGAGAATCAGCTCATAAGAAGGAGTCTGAGAAAGCCATTGCTCAACATGCCTCATCCTCAACTGTTGCAACCTCGAGTGGCCCAAGTGTTGCTCCTCCGCCTGATCCTGCGATTGCTGAAGTATAGGAACTCGGGCAGTCGTCTACAGAGTCTTGCGGATCAACTTACTCTTAATTTTAGAATATGCCGCATTTGTTTTGCCTTTTGATCTTTTGCTTTAGCTTGCCTTGATGTACAAACTCTTAATTTGTTTTTGAGTTTCGAGTGGTTGTACTTAGTTCGGCAGCTGCTTTTATCCGTCTTGTGGACGGCTGCCGATTAGTATTTGGTTTCTTTGAACTTTCTGAACTAGGTTTGATGTAGCTCGGTGAACTGAGCATAATTTGCCACTTCTAATGCATTGTTTTCTTTTCCAACTGCCTTGCCTCTTTGACTTAGCTATGTAACTTGCATTATCATTTGTTTTTCAAAATTTTTCTAAGTGTAGAGCTTCAGCTTGGGCATATTTGCTCCCATTCTACTGGAAGAGTAAGATTGAATTGCCTTGTTGGAGTACTCCTTGCCCCCCAGAAATCTGAAGTATCATTCTTTGGATTTCTAAGGTTTTTGCTTGGTTTTCTTGCACAGGCGAAGTCTTGTTTCACATTGTCTTGTACCTCTTAGTAAATTTATGAGTTCGCTGCTCAGAAGTCTTGGACTTTGAGAGCAGCATTCTCTCGTTCCTTGAAAATTTTTCAGGGGAATGACTATTCGAAGCACAGTGCCAGAGGTTAGCAATGCCTCGGATATAACTCTTCTGAAGCATAATGCCAACGTTTGGCTATTCTTTAGATTCGTCCACGACCCCTTTGCCCCAAGGAACTGATTTATCCGAAATACCGTGCCTTCACATGACTATACTTCAGCTGTGAAATCATTGTTCCCTGTTGGGTGGGTTTAGCGACAATCCGAAGTACAGTGCCACTGTTGGGCTATACGTTGGACAGTGCCTGTAGACACCTAAAAATGTCTCCCCAAAACCAACCCCAATGATGAACCTTTCACCGCCATTATTGGTCGGGTCAAGTATTTAATCTCAGGAGTGCTTAAAATCCATATTCAGTCAAATATATTCAATCCACAAATCAGTCCAAACATTTAGTCAAACTCAGTCCAACTCGCATTTCAGCCCAAATCCTATTTAATTCATTTTGTGTTATTTATTAATTAAGCCCGATTAATAAATAATAAAACCCTATGCCTGAAATAAGTCTGGAATAGCTGAAACGGCGCCTAATTATCACGCACTTAATGTTTAAGAAAAAAGGTTAAAATGAATTTGGAAGGATTTCTGGAAAACACAAATGTCGCGCCACGGCAAAATTTGCCGCACCACGACAATTTTGCAGTGACACGACAATTTTCTAAGGTTTTGTTTCGCGGCACCTTCAATTCTAGGGTTCCGAACCTCACCCCTCATATTTTCTCTATAAATATGAAGCTGGTTTCACTAGTTTCGGGGCACCAAATCATTCTCTCTTTCTCTCTTATGCTCTATACTAAACACTAGCCTTCCCTTTTCTTCCACAATACATCCCTTAAGCACTCCCAGAAGTCCATACTTTACTCGAAGTTCTAAACTTAAACCAAGGCGTGAAATGTAGAAGTGTTTGGGGGTTTGGCCCCAAATCAACTTTACTTTAATTTGATTTAATTTTCATTATTGTTTATTAATTTTCCTTAAAGTTACTAACGCGTTTATTGTTTTATAGTTGCAAGCAAAAGCAATCAAAGTAAGGAATCATGTTCCTTTTGCTCCTTTTATATTTCTAACGATTTCTATTATTTTTTTTCATATACTAATCGTTATTATTACTGTTGAATTGCTTCCAATGTTGATGTTGATTTTTATTATATTTATGATCACCATATTGCATGTTAAAGGGAATATGTAATTGAATATAACGCTTAATAAGATAATTTGGACAACCGGTTTAGGTTCTTTTTTTATCTCAATACAACAAATTGACCTTTGTGCCACTAGTATAATCGTGGCACAAGTTTAAAATTTACGTGGCTATGTAATTTAGCCACAGGAATTTTGAAATTCAGTCCCGTGGCACAAGAGGCCGTGGCTAGAAATTTGCCACGGGAAAATGGATGTCGTGGCAAATTTAAAATTTTATGCCACGGGTATTTACGTGGCAAACAAACTCACTTGCCACGAATAATAACGTGGCTAACAAATTGTTTGCCGCAAATTCTATCGTGGCTAATAAACATTGCCACTAATATTACTGTGGCTAATAAGTTTGTTTGCCACAAATAATACCGTGGCTAGTCATAAATATTATCGTGGCTAGAAAAACTAGTAGAAAAAAAGAATTAGGCACCGATTCAAAATCCGTGCTCTTTTTCAATAAAGACAGGTTCAAAATCAGTGCTCTTTGTCAATAAAGGCAACAGTTCAGAGGCAAAATCGGTGTCTGAAGTGAAGTAAAGGGTACCGGTTTTGCCTTTGAATCGGAGCTTTTTAGGGCAAAAAATAAAATAAATTTTGCATTTTTTCCGTTAAATTAATACACACAGACTTGCACAATAAACTTAGATATTTCCATTAATAAATGACTAATGTTTTACACTTTCATAAAAAAAAAAAAAAAAAATTACAATGGGAGCATAACCATAATAGTATGGAGCATAGCAGCAGCAGCAGTAGCATCAGGAGCAGCCATCAGCAGGAGCAGAACCACAACATCATGCAGCAACAGCAGCATTGTGCAACAACAGCAACAGCCGCATTGTACAGCAACAGCAGCAGCAGAAGCAGAGTGCAACAACAGCCACAAGCAATTACGTCCACAGATACACTCACTAACACACCCACACAAACCAGATTTATATTTACAGCAGCAATTAGGCCACTCATTTGAGCCATGTAACACATCAAAATCGCACCATACTTGTCAGCAACAGAGGACGCATTAGAGTAGTTGCATTTCAAAACAAAAGGAAATAATTAAGTAAAGTGATCTAGTAAAAAAAACAAAATATGTAAACGTGATAGCTAATAGTCAAACACAAAGTTCTAACTTGTAACTAATAAACATCTCTAAGTTATATACCTGCAGTGCACTATGAAGGTAGGAGAAATATGATAAATCTTTTCATAAGTGTATTTACTGAAACAAAACAAATGCTCAGTCAATTTAGTTAGCCTTATTATGGACCAATAAATAAGTTCTACCAAATCTACGGTTAAAATTAGTACGGAGTATGTTTTAGCCATTAAAGTCAAATACGACCAATTATTTAGGACAAATGTCTCTTAAAATGAACAAAGTATAAAAACCAATTATTAAATTTACTACACAATGTGTATCCAAAATAAAGATACTAGACCTAGGTCTAAGATATAACGTATGAAATTTGACAATGAATTGATCATTTCATCGGCTGCCACCCTACCCCCCCCCCCCCTCTCAGCTTGAGGAAATCAACTGACATAGACCATCGAATCATTGATCAGATTGATACAAAGAGCGAAAGAGGCAATCACTTGGCTAACTCAAAAGATAAGCTAATGCTGTAGAAAATTACCTTCATTGGCCTGACGTGTTTAAGAGCGCAAGCTGATGTTCTGAATTTTGAAGTTCCTTTTTGTTCAAGGTATCAAGCTCTTCTCCCATGTAATGCCTGGAATGATAATAAAAATCTAAAGATTTTCATAAATAGGGCGGTTTCTGTAGAGAGCAGTTTGTTTTCAAAATGTTACTTGTGAATTTTCAACAGATTCTCCAGTCTAGCCTTTAGCTTTGATGCTCCAGAGTCCAGCTTACCTAAAAGTAGTAAGCATGATTAATCAACTGAAGCACGTCTGAATGTAAAATCTCAACTATTTTGCTAGAATAAGGTAACTGGCATACATGGATTTCAAACAAATGACACAAAATATCCCACTCAAAGACACATTTTTTGGCCAGGAATGACACATCAACACGACCAACAAAGAACGCTGCAAATTGAAAGCTAAATGAAGGTTACATCATCACTTACAAGTTAAGGCATTAGGCTTTTAAAGACTTCTTAGTCCCTTATAATTGGATCACCAGTTCGAATCTAGTATATTTGGCAAATAGTTAGGCCTCATTCAAGCCCTAGGGATGTACTTAACACCAGGTCAATCCATACACAAGTGCTAAATAAATGTTACATCAACCCCTGCTTATTTTAACTCAAAAGCATTACATAATCACATTCTTGCCTCACTTTCTAATTGCAAACCAAAATTTTTGCTCTCTGAAATCCATTTCTTTATTCATCGAATTTTTAATTTCTGCAAATTTATCATTCAATAAAATATTCAAAGCCTGGATATTAAAGAAAACATCAATTAATTACGCCAAATTCAGCTAATTACATAACAGAAAATCATTATTTGGAGTGTATGGGTAGTTCTTGCTGAAGATGAATGGAGGAGAGTAGAGAATACGTTACTCAAAAATAGATTGTATGAACCAAACACTAATTATTTCAAGATACAGTAATCCAATTACCAATTATACAGAAAAAGGAAAAAAAAATATGGTAGTGAGAAAGTACCGATTTCAAAGACAAAATTTTTTGTGCAATTTGTTTGATGTTGCAAACTTATTCAATTTATGCATGCCCCAAACTCTAGTTTGTTGTTGTACCTCCATTATTGAAGCCTTGATTTTGTAATTCAAACTGAGCATTTTAATCTCCGACCGGTCCCAACTCCCCAGTGCAGTCATTCCACTGAACAAGTTCATACTGTCCACTATACGCCCAACCATGTAATATTCTTTTCAGAATGAACTCGGCGAAGGAGCGCCAAAATGCAGCAAGATAGCCTCTTTTTTTTTTTTCTCCAGAAAGCTTCATGGTTGGTAAATTAGTTTCTGATAATTCAGTCTCTCCTCTCTAGAAACACAACCAAAAGATTAAATGTTAAATGCATCAACTATTTCCTTTATAAAGTTACACCACCTAATGGGTTAATGTTCCGGGGTATGCCTACATGTCTTTAATTTCAATTCAATGAAATTTACCAGCAGACTAACGAAACATATTTCACTAACTGCGTTCTTCAGCAATCCTTCAACAAACAGCCAAATGATTCTTTCTAATGAATCAGGACGCTATACTACGTGAACTAGGTAAATCAAATAAGACAAAAACTCAAGCATGTTTCTGCCTTTCAACTCACCTATACTTGTTCATTATTAGTTTTAAGACAACATATTGATAGTTTGCACTGCAATCCAATCGAGCAATAACACAATTAAAATAGTCACATCTATCCAAATGCTCAACAAGAGAAAATTATTTATTTACAACTAACAACATCTTCTTAACCTTATAATCTTGTTATGCATCCACATCAACAATACCCCAACGTCACTAAAAGGCGGTTGCAATAGGCGATATGAAGGGCCGAACAAAAACAATCAGCCTTCATAATCGAAATGCATTGCAAAACAACTGGACTAATGATTATCAGCTATCAAAATAGAAATATTGACAATTTAGTTAGCTAATTTGATTTATTCTTTCATTATCTAAACCAAAATTTCGAGCCCAAATATCATTCTAACTATTAAAATTATCATTCATACATTTTGAAAGTTCATTTAAAGGCAAGAAAGTCGAATATCCCAAAGAAAACTAACTGAATTCAGCAATCAATTAATTTAATCAGCAATGAATCAAACGATGTTAGGAGGAATTTTTTGTCAACATTTTACTAGTAAATTTGATCGATTTCTTCCCTTAATTTGATAAATACAAGTAGATTGAAAATTCGCAATGAAGTAAATTCAACACATATGTAAAACGAGGAATTCAAATGTCAAATTGCAAAGATATTAAATTGATAAAAAAAAAATAACCTCTGAAGAAAAGTGGATTGCAATTGACAGAAATGTTGATTCTGAAAAGTAATCGAGATGAGATTGTTCAAAGTTTAGAGCATTAGATAAGGGGAACTATTTTTCTCGAGATTTAATCAGAGATTCAGAGTTAAGCTAATAATCCTATTCAAACATATGAGAGAGAAGAAGATAGAATGAAAAAGGGGGCTGAAGTTAGGTTAGAGAGGAAGAAGACTAATTTTCACTTTTCAGGCTCAGTAAAAGAAAACCGTCCGCCAAAAGTTAAAAAATTAATAATAATGGCGCGTTTGAGGGCTATTGGCTATGGTTTTTTTCCCTTTCTCCTTTTCTTTATTGGGGGAATTAGAGAAGGATGTTGTTGCGTTGTTGAAGCGGGTTCAGGCGTTCGCTAGGAGATATTGGTGCTCGTGCGGCTGCTCACATCTTCAACAGGATTGGGTTCACTATAGATAGAGGGGTGGGGGCTCAGATTGTATCTCGACTCTCCACTAATTTCTTGTAAATCATTTGACTTTGTAGGTTTTTATAATAATAATAATAATAATAATAATAATAATGATAAAGAGGGAAAACGATGAAAGGTAAAATTTAAAAAAAAAGAAGATTTATCCCTATCATGTAGGAAAGGATAAAATTGTAATTGGATTTTGTAAGGGGTAAATTGGTCAACAACTCAACATACTTACATACTGTTCATATGGGATCCTTATTTTGGCATTCCTTAATTGATGGTTGTGACTTGTGGCTTTTATATAGGTTAGGGATAGATTTAACAAATAGAGTAATTAAATCATTGTTAATATGCAATAGACTTATAGTAGTCATTTGCTTACAGTTAATTTGATATGGAGTACTAGAATTTCTTTTCTTTACTGAAATCTTCTAAAAATATCTTGTTATTTGATTGAAGATAATTTTCCTTTTTTCCATGTATGATTGGAAATAGAACATATATATAAGGAAAACTTTTACAAGGAAATAAATTATCGCGCCTCTTATCATGGGGTTTTGATATAGATAGGGACAAGAGTTTTTATAAAACCAGTGCATCCCTTTGGTGTCTCTTCAAAATCTTCTACTAGTGACTAGTGATATACACTTGTCGTTATTGCGCGGGGCAAAAAAAAACCAAAACATAATTATATAAATATATTTAACCTAGGCCTCTAATTGGTACTTATTATGTTTAATATTCTACTATGTATCAATTAGTGCTTATGGTAGTTCAAATATCTTCAAGTTTAGAAATAACGAAAATTGAAGTAATATTGCTAATTCAAGGTACCTAACTTAGTTGTTAAGTAAATATATATTCGTAGTAAACTTATTGTATGCTATGATTTCCTCTTTTTCATGGTATAAGTAGATCTAGCGACATAAATTTTATACTGTAGCAAAAATCGTGGCGTAAGTGTATGCTTGGCACAAGAAAATTATTACATGTGGCGCTGATGTAAATTTTATTACGAAAAAAAACTACTCGCAACACAAAAATGTAAACTTTGTCACTAAAAAGAACTAATCGTGGCAAAAATGTAAAGTTTGCCACGGGAAAAGAGCTACTCGTGGCACAAATGTAAAGTTTGCCACGGGAAAAACACTACTCATGGCACAAGTGTGATTTTGCCACGGGAAAATAAATACCCGTGGCATAAATTATTCTTCTTAGGTTATGTATCATAATTCATTTTTCTCGTGGCTAGATGAAATTATGCCACGAATTTGAAATTCCCATGGCATAATTCGTGGCACAAGTGATAATTTGTTGTAGTGTGTTTAATTAAAGTGATCACAATATTTTAGAATTATATGTTGCATTAACATTCAACCAATAGCTTAATAATAGTTTGGAGCAAATTAAATCTTTGTTTGCATGCCTTTGAGATCGCAGGAATACTTTTCACAATAGGAATCGAGTAGAGGCCAATATGGGCGAACGTGACTCCATGACTCACTTCGTACCATCATCTTCGATCCTCCTTTTGTGGTTCCAAACCATATGGAGTTAGTAATCTCATGGATTATGAATGGGGTGTAATCTTCACGAGTCAACAGTTGTTGCCTACCGTTATCCCTTTATCGTGGTTGCCTTAAATGATCCGTGAACAGTTTACAAGTTCCTTAAAAACTTGTTGGCGGCTCCCTACTTTGTTTGTCCCTAATCGTTGTACCTAATCGTATGTCAATTCTCACTTCCTATGAGTGCCAAGCATATTCACAACATGCTTAACGTAAGCGCGCTTCGAATGACGCCTACAATTGGGCGACTCCACTGGGGATTATTCTTGGTTATTTTTCGCTTTGAGTGATCGGTATTTAATTGAGATGAGTGGATGAGACTTGAAAGATTCTTGAATCTTATTCCTGTGATTAATTTGGCATTTTTGCATATGCAATGACGTTTAAACGTCGTATTTACGTTCGCCTCGTAGGAAAAATTGAATAACCTGATCGCGATCGAAAAAACAGAGGCACGGATTAAATTTCATGACTACCGCGCAACGGCGGAACTGTCGTGTCACGGCAGAGTTTGCCGTGACGCGACAATCTTTATCGTGGCACGGCAATTCCAACCGTGGTGCGGCAGTCCTTAATTTTTTTTTGTGGTTCTGCTTTTTTCCCGTGGTTAGCTTCCTTTGATTTTCTGAAAAACCGTATGTGTTCTACATACGTTTTACCCCCGGGGGATTAAGCTCTATCAACCCAAAAACGTCCATAACAATAAGGGTTTATCCGAGTTATTAAATCCACTCAAACCATGGAGTCGAGTTCGATTTAATCACGAACTCGCGGTGCCGCCCGTTGGCATACACCCTCAAGGAAGGCTGCCTTGCTAACGCGTCCAAACTCTTAACCATGGTACCCTTTTGACACCAAATAAACCTAACCATAGTGTAACATAGAACTTGACCATAGGTTACGAACTTCATTGCATCATTATGACTACGTGCCTTATGTGTATATATTTGATCGTTTTGATCCTAACCTTAATGACCATTCTTTGTCTATGGTGGTTGTTTATTTCATGACTAACGAATGCCAACAGACCGTACTCACTTAGTAATTAGCGCAAACTCTAAAAATAAAAAAAAATAAAAAAAAAAAACAGGAAAAAACGCACAAAAAGAACCTGAAACTGATTACCGTGCCACGACAGAAATGCCGCGCCACGACAATCAGTGCCATGTCACGTCAACTTGTATCGCACCACGGTACAATTTTCTGTGTCATGACAGTTGTGCAGTGCCACGGTGCCCAGGTTTAAGTCTAGTCAGTCCATATTTTAGTCTTCCGTTCTATTTTGGTCCACGCGTCAGTCGTTTTGATACTGTTTACTTTTCGTTTCGTATTAATCGCAACACTAAGCTATTCACAAAGTTTAAAAAAATTTATAGGGTGGGGCTTAATAGAAGATTTTTTATAATATAAAGTATTGTTGGTAGGAGAGAGAAATAATAATAAAAAAGTAGTATAAGTGGGGTTGGTTGAAAAGAGAAATAATAAAATATTTGTGAAAGTGGGGTTAGTGGGAGAGAGAAATTATAAAATAATGGTGGGTCCTTTCCAAATATAGAAGTGTTGCAATTAATATGAAACGGATGTAAAAGGAAAGTGTTGTGATTAATACGAAATGAAGGGAGTACATGTCTAGCCATGCGATCATACCACGAGTCTTATAACATCACCTAATCACTCACGAGTCAAGTATAGTCCACACACTTTCTTCAATTTTCGACTCGAGTCGTGCACCATGTCGTTTATGATCGTATACTAGGTTCATGCATGTGTCTCCTTTGTTCCGTCATAATTAAGAATGAGTGGAGTTTTCTTATCTATTTTTTTTTAAAAAAAAAACTTCTCTCTCTTTTTCTTTCCTATTTGGAATGTTGAGTCAAGCTATTAAATGAATTTGTTTTATCTCACAGTATTTGGTCAAGAAGCAAGGGTATTGGTACAGTTCGAGTCACTACCGCAACAATCTCTTAGACCTAAGAGGCGTTCAAAGAAGACTCCGTCATCTCCACATCAACTATCACCTTCAAATTACTTTTAATTCATTCTAATGGCCACCAAAGAAGATATTAAGGGCATTCATAAGTCCATCGAGACACTTTCTGCCATGAGGCAAACCCTTACCACCAAGGTCAATACCATGGAACAAACCAAAGTCATTGTTGCTACAGTTGACAAGATAAAAGAACAAGTGAGCAAAATTTCTGAAGAGTTCACCTACGTGGAACAAACTTCCACTACTTTGGTTGTGAAGGACAAGCTCCCTGAAAAATTCTCCACTTCTGACATACCTAAGTTCAAACCTACTGATAATCCAATATTTCATTTGAAGGCCTTCTCTGCAACCATGGCTCTCAAGGGATTGGATGTAGCACTCTTCCCTACGGTGTACCCTCTCTCCTTAAAGCATGCTTGCCTACAATGGTTTTATTCTCTAGATGCCAAGCACACTGCAACTTGGCAAGATGTCACTGAAAGTTCTATGAATCGTTACAAGTGTAACATTCAAATTACAACTTCTGAACGTGAACTCTCCATTCTCAAACAGAAAGAAAATGAAGGCTTCACCACTTATCTGAAGAGGTGGAGGGAAACAACTGCACTCTTGGTGTATCCTTTCAAAGAAAAGGAGATGGTTCGTCTCTTTATCCAAAATCTGACTCACAAGTACAGACAACATCTCAAATTCCTGCCATTGAACACTTTCGAAGTTGTATACAATATTGGCATCAATATTGAGGATGAGCTAATAAAGATTGTTGGTAGTAACAACAATAATAATACTTGGAAAAATAAGAAGAACGACCTTCCTTCTTCTTTTTCTTCTAAGCCCGAAAATACTACCAACAATGTAAGCCAGGTGGATCTCAATAAAGTCTTAGCTCATATCGATGCTCCATTACCAAGAAAAGGAGAACTTATACTCCTTAAGGAATGACGTATGACGTTGCTTTTGATCGCCTCTATAGTCAAGGCTTGATCACACCTATTGGGCCATTTCCAGAGCCAAAACCTGAAGTAAGGAGCGTCAAGTGGAATCCCAATTCCCACTGCAAGTTCCATCAAGGAAGGAGCCACACTACCGAGCAGTGCTGGAATCTAAAAGATGCTATTCAAGATTTGGTTGATGCCAACAAACTTCCTGTCCCTCCAGGCGACAAGAACTAATGAAGACAAGGCGCACAACCAGCCTTTAGTATAAGATTTCAT